TTAATAATTATTATTTTCTTGTTCCCCTTTGATTTTACTTTTTGGGTATTGTATGTGTAAAAAATCAGAGTCTTGGAGGTTTGCAAGAAAACAGTAAAAGATAATACGGGACATATACTGTTTGGTTTCAAATCTCTGCAGTTAGAAAAAAAGGAGGAGTCTTTGTTTGCTCTCACCAATGGTAAAGACTCGATCTTTATTAATTTTTTCGTTTGTCTTTGTGCATCAAGTGTGTCTCTGTAAAAGATCTTGACCTGGGCCTTTCTAGATTTGTTTGCTTTTGTAACTGGTAATATTAATCTGATTCTTGGTTTTCAGGTTCCATGTACCCTTTTGTTTTTGAATTTTGTCTGCAATTTGATCTGGTCTGCTTGCTTGTTCTATGTTTACTAGATTTGACTCGATTTGGAAACTATAAAGAGTTTCACATACTTCTGTCTGTGTGTGTGTGTGTATGTGTGTGCGTGGGGTGTGTATGTGTGTGTGTGTGTGTGTGTGTGTGTGTGTTGGATGCACTAAGCACCAATGCAGATAACACTGTCTAATTTCCTAATTCCTGGTGTGTTATATTGCAACCGTTTAAGTTATTGATGATCATAGTTTGATCAGGAAAGTAAATCTTTTAGTCTTTACACAATGATCTGGTAAAAAATCCATCTTATGCATATATATTGAGTTTACTTTGTGCTCTAGTTTTTCGTGTTAATTTGTGTTAAAGATCGACGTATAATCGGTGTGCTGCCTTATACCTACTGAAAGTTTTTTTTTTTGACCCATTTAATGGTGAATTACTTACTGATGAATGGGTTCTTTTTGTTTGTTTGTTTTTTTTTTTCCAGATGGGATCTGTAGAAGAGAAAGTAGACATTGAATCGGATGAGGAGATGCCGTTTAGTGGGTCCCAGATAACGAATAAAATGCAACCATTAAATTTCGAATCATCTAACATCTTGTTGAATCGAAGATTTTCAGCGTCTTGGGTATTAAGAAAGGTGCACCGTAACAGTATATTGAGAAGTATATACATTGTACTGATTAAAGCCAAGATTAATGTTTTGCTGCCGTTCGGGCCGCTTGCGATTATGCTACACTATCTCACCGATCTACATGTGAGGAAAAAACTTAAAATTTTGTCTATTGAAAAAAAAAGTACTGTTAATTTGGTGATATTGAGATATAAACGCATGTTTTTTTTT